AGATATGTGGGGGCGTGTTAGAACGAGCCGTTTTAGGGGGGCGTGGCAGAGTCTTAACTTTGATAAAGAATATCTTTTTGGTTTTGAGACTTTAGTCTTTGCAACTTCAGGGATCTTATCTATGCACAATCAGCTTGTAACACTCCAAAGAGAAAGGAAAACTTGAAATCGCATCATATGACCCCTTTAATAGACAAAAATACCAAGATGTTAATAATTTGAATATGAACAACCTCTTTCAATATGGTTTAAAAAGTATCCCAGGATGCACCTCATGAAGTTACATTTGTCCCAAACATGTCCTGTTCCTTAGTTTCAATGACTTTTCTTACACGCTTATTCTAATATGTGGAAAATGGTAATAATTATCGAGTAGGTATGTCCTTTTAACTGGTACTGTACACAGGAACTAGGCATGGGCCGATTACCGGTTTCAAGGTATACCGCGATTTGAAGATTTCACGGTTTCAAAACCGCTAATATTTTCCGTTATACCGTTCCTGAGGTATGTGCTGTTTTTCATGTCTCCTCAAAGACTGAAAGTGTAGGAATCCCTCAGGTTGAGTGCACTGTAGAGAGTAACACGCCCCCTCCCCCTCCTGTTGGTGCGAGCGAGCGGTCAGTCACGTGTGTGTATGATGGCCGAAGGAGCTTCCTCTGGAACTTACGCGACCGGCAACCGGCCGTTTATTGTTTTATTGCAGCCGATCTCTGTTCTGGACTTGCACAAACTGCGTTGCAATACATATTTTCCAAATGTCGCTGTATCAGCGCCTCCTGCTGACAGAGAGTGAATCTGCGTCCCATTCAGAGCTTCTGCTGTTTGTTTCGTTCAGGCATGTAGTAGCATAATTTCACAAAGCTAGTCAGAAAATTCAGTTTTTGCTTCAAATTGGGTTATTATTAAATCAAATTATGTATATGAAATTATATAAATAAATGATATGAAATTATATAAATGATATGTATATGAATTATATAACTAAAATTAAATAACTGTAATTACAGATTTAGGTTAAATAAAGATGTCAGTCTTTATTTTTCTTCTTTTTAGGGCAGCAGTAGCTCTAGCAGCAAATCAACCATCCACATCAAAAGCTGCAGGACAGCCCACATTTCAGAAACAAATCAAAGAAAAAATAAACAAATACTACTGTTCCAGATATTCTTTATGTTGCTCAAAATATATTGTGTTCAGTT